CCACCTTAGGTGTACGTGGCTGGCGCCTTAGCCGGTTGAGCTATAGGCACCGAGCCAGTATCAGGTACTTCTGAATTCACCCACCAATTTCAGAAGGCATTCCAAAGATTTTTCTAGATCTTCACAAACCATTGTGAACATGACCGAGAAATTTCTAAAGAATTTTGATCTTGATTCAAAAGGAAAACATTGTTTTATCCTACCTGCCTTTACATGGCTAAGGTTTTACCAATTAGTTTATCAGCCTATGGCCTTCCGAGTTTGGCCCCCACATAAGCTCTCTTGCGTGTCAGTTATATAAAGTATATGACCATGTCAAACCCTTGGATGACTTACTAATTGTTTGTTCTGGGCTATCGTCATGGCCTTCTGCTCTTCGGAAGCGTTCATGCTAAGTTTCAGTTCCTCCAGTTCTTCTTTTAACAGATTTGTTCTCATAATAGCCTGGTGGGCACTGTGGGAGTAGGGGAGGGGAGAGGGCCATGAACAAAACCTCAAATATAACCGTCAAAGGCACTAAGTAAAGACGAGGACTATTTTTGGACTCCAGTTGAAAAACCATGAAAGGCTTAAACCAGATGCCCACAATCATAAAAATATACCCATGATCTTTCGCAGTCCTTGGCAAGGGAAGGAATTTGTAAGCAATTGGAAGAAAGTAGGGGCTGGAGAAGGGAAGAATCGAGGGGGAAATCAACAAATATATTCCTGAAGCAGAAGATGTGGAGGGTCCCTTTGAAATCCATCATTGGCTGACTCATGTAGCTCTTTCCTCCTACTAAAAAGATATTAGTTTGTGTTAGCTAATATGAGTTAATGCCATTCCAGAGACATTTACTGAGTGATACCACATTCCAGGTGTGTCCTCTGCATGGAGGCTATCAGGGTAGACAAGAGAGACATGGTCTTTGCCGGCACAGAGCTTACAGAGTACTGAGGGAGATGACAACCAAACAAATAACTGCCAGCAGTCTTTCCGTGATATATGCTATAAAGACGTTTATTATAGCATTATTTACAATAACAGAGCATTGGAAACAACCTAAATGTCCATCAACAGCAAATTGACTAAATGATTTATGCTAATCCTTATCATGGAATTACCTATTTCTCTCTCCCCCTAGATTATTAACTGCTCTCTGAGGACCTCAAAAAAGATAACAATTTTTTCAGTACTAAGAAATGACATTGAGCATTCGATAAATATTTTTTACAGAGTTCTAATGGTGTGTCAGGCATTGCACTGGCACTGAAAAGGCCAAAGCGACCCCAGTAAGAGAATGCTACCTACCTGGAGTTTAGGGTCTAGTAGGACATACAGATAATCAGATAATCATCATTACAATACAGTCTGCTGAGAACCAAAAGCAACAGAGGTTTCTGGCTGGTAGATAACTGAAAGGAAGTCAGTATTGCTCTATGGTAGATGATCTGCTAGACACGAGGGTAACCAGAATGAATAGGACAGAATTCCTCGCATGCACGAGCTCACAGTGAATAGGAAAGACAAATTATACCACCGCAGGATCATTGCGCAGTATCAGAAAAATACTGCAATAGCCCAAAGGAGACCAGGCTCTTCAGGAAGGATTAGGGGCAGGAGAAAAGAGGATGGTGCATGGTTTAATTTGTAGTGAATGACACTCTGGTTGCCAATCCACATTCTCCAGGCTTTCTGTCCATTTTGTGAGTTATTCAATTCCTTTCTAATACAGGACTTCTTGATAGCCCAGATTAACCAGAATCAGCTTCGAGCGCTTGCAAACAAAAATCCTGCCCAGCACATTCACCCAAAGCAGTTTTGTTAAAGAAACTTTGAATTGTTTCAATTAAATAATGAATAAGCTAGTCATGGAACGGAGAGAACTTGAGATAAGCATTTTTGATCATAAGATAGGTTTAGACTCTGGACAGGACAAGGGGAAATTTTTTTGAGGGTGAGAATGCTTTAGGTGAAAACTGTGTCCGCTCAAAACTAGCGCACAAATGTTCACAGTGGCATTATTCCTGACAGCCAAAAACACGGACACAGCCAAAAAGTAGATACAACTCAAATGTCCGTATTTATTCAGCCATAAAAAGAAATGAGGTGATAATACTTACTACAACACGGATAAACCATTTAAAAACAATATGCTAAGTGAAATAAGCCAGACACAAAAGGCCACATGTTCCATAATTCCACGTTTATGAAATGTCTGGAATAGGCTGATCTATAGGAACAGACAGTAGAATAGTGGTTGCCAGAGCCTGGGCGTGGGAGTGGGCAACAGGGAGGGGCTGCTAGTAGGGATGGGGTTTTTTTCTGATGAAAATGTTCTAAAATTGGATAATGATGATGATTGTATGGCCTGGAGAATATACTTTAAAACACTGAATGGGAGAATTTAAAAGAATGAATTTTTTGCTATGTGAATATCTCAATTAAAAAAAATTTTTTTTTAAAGAGAAAAGCTCCCAGCAGGCAGTGCCCCACTGTGGCTCACCTTTTAATCTGAAGCTGCAATTCTGCACAGTCCTCTGATAACTGGCTATTAGTTTCTTCCAAAGTTTCTAATGCCAACTTTATCTTATTATTTTCCTCTTCCAATTTCTGCTTGTTGAAATGGAGGTCCGCTACACAGGCGATCAAATCGGACACGTCTCTGCAGGTGAAAGAACGAATGAGAATAATCTTCAACATCTCCAATCCCTTCCAGTCAAGATAAGGCATAGGGTTAAGCCCAAAGAGGCTTAAATATTCTCGTGAGATGTTTCGACTTTACCCTCATCTGTCATCATAAACATAAATCCTTTCTACAAGAAACATTTGTGCGAACATGTATTACAATAGCAAAGATTTTTTTTTCCAAAATGGCCAGCTCTTCGTCACTTGCCAGTTGTGAAATCAGCTTCCACAGCCTTTGCCTGTTCCTTTCCACCTCACTCACAGTATTTGCCTCCTCCTACACTGAAGACTTCCTATTTCTGCCTGGAATAGGAGAGATCCTGAAATGAATGAACACAACACTCTTGGAGTCAAGGGATCTTGGCAAATTTCACTAGGGCTTTCGGGAACACCTGGCGTCTCCTGTCTGTAACTGTGGCTGGTGATTTAGTGCCCATCCTTCCTGATGCTTTGGATGACCTGTTCATCACCGTGAGCATCACTCTGCTTCTGACACTAATTCGTGAAACTGCTGAGTGTCTGGACCAGGGGTCCTCAAACTTTTTAAACAGGGGGCCAGGTCACTGTCCCTCTGACTGTTGGAGGGCCGGACTGCGGGCCCTGGGATGAGTCAGCTGCTAAGCAGGACAGGCAGCAGCAGCAAAAACACCCAGCAGGTTGGATAAATGTCCTCGGCAGGCCGCATATGGCCCGCGGGCCTTAGTTAGAGGACCCCTGGCTCTGGACTATGCGTTTCGTGGCATCTTGGGGCTCCTTTTCTGTGTTACTACCTTATCCCAGTGCTTAGCCCACATAGGGTAAACATGAAATAGCAAAGATAAAATAAGAGAAAGGCAGATACACCTCTCTTTAACGTTAAAGACTTACAAATTACAGGTTACAGGTGCCTCAGGCCTGTAACCGTAGCACTTTGGGAGGCAGAGGCAGGCAGATTACTTGAGCTCAAGAGTTTGAGGATAGCCTGGGCAAGAGCGAGACCTTGTCTCTACTGAAGATAGAAAAACTAGCTGGACATTGTGGCGGATACCTGGAGTCCCAGCTACTTGGGAGTCTAAGATAAGAGGATCACTTAGCCCAAGAATTTGAGGTTGCTGTGAGCTGTGATGCCACAGGGTGACAATCCAGGGTGACAACGTGAGACTCAAAATAAAACAAAACTTACAAATTTAGTGGAAAATAGCTTGTCTTATTTTTCCCAGAAGGTTCTACTAAAGAAGTACTTTAAAATCATCTCCAAAAGAACTTGAGGTCAATATCATAACCCTACTTCCACCAGAACTCATTTTCTATAGAAAACACATGCAGTCAATGAAGGAGAAGGCCTCGTAAGGGAGCTAATGATTTGGGATGATTAGTTTCTATAAGAATTTGTGGGCTCGGCGCCTGTGGCTCAAGCGGCTAAGGCGCCAGCCACATACACCCAAGGTGGTGGGTTCAAATCCAGCCTGGGCCTGCCAAAGAACAATGACGGCTGCAACCAAAAAATAGCCGGGCGTTGTGGCGGGCGGCTGTGGTCCCAGCTTGAGCCCAGGAGTTGGAGGTTGCTATGAGCTGAAATGCCATGGCACTCTACCCAGGGGGACAGCTTGGGGCTCCTGTCTTTAAAAAAAAAAAAATTTGTGTTCCAGCTCAGCATCTATAGCTCAGTGGTTAGAGCGCCAGCCACATACCCCTGGGCTGGCAAGTTCAAACCCAGCCGGAGCCTGCTAAACAACAATGACAACTACAACCAAAGAATAGCCAAGCGTTGTGGCAGGCGCCTATAGTCCCAGCTACTTGGGAGGCTGAGGCAAGAGGAGAATCACTTAAGCCCAGGAGTTGGAGGTTGCTGTGAGCTGTGGCACCACAGCACTCTACCAAGGGTAACATAGTGAGACACTGTCTCAAAAAAATAAAAAGAATTTGTGTTCCAAGTGAAACTGATTCTAATGCAGATGGCATAGAATAGTCAAAAAGTTAAAATCAATTAGGTTAGCTCCACTACAAAAAGGAAAAAGAGCTAAGTGACTTTACCATAACTAAATTACATAGATTTGTGAAATAAACAAAAAATAAATAAGGAAAGTTGAGGTCCTTGAGCAAGAGTTAAAGTAAGGACGCTTACAAGACTCCTTTAGTCAGGTCTCCACCCAAAGCCTCGAAGCTCCTTGCCATAGAATCGGTCATGCCTATGGTCGTCTTAACTGAAACACATACAGGAGTGTTAGGAACAAGTGCTTCCTCCCAACCCTAGGAGAGTGGCAGAACAATCCTCAAGAAACATTTACGTGCGCCACCTGATTTTATGCTGTCCGGTTGTTCAAAAACAGAATCGTCAATGCTGCTGCTCAATCTCCTGCTCATTCCTTCCCTGTAGCCAAAAACAAAATAAAACAAAAGCTTGAGTTAGGAATCTTTGCCAGACCGGACCTCGGTCTCTACTAAAAATAGAAAAATTAGCCAGGAGTGGTGGCAGGAGCCTGTGGTCCCAGCTACTCAGGAGGCTGAGGCAGGAGGATTGCTGGCAGCTGAGGTAGGAGGATTGCTGGAGCCCAGGAGTTTGAGGTTGCTGTGAGCTATGATACCACTGCACTCTAGCCTGGGCAGCAGAATGAGACTCTGTCTCAAAACAAACAAGCAAACCATCATGCGAAGTTAATCATTTTAGCATATATTCTTCCCAACATTTTCCTTGACAAAAACAGTTACTTTACATATAGAGAACTATTTATTTGAAATCAGCACATAGGACCATTTATCTAATTATTATTTTGAATGACTATTGAGGATGCCAGTGTATGGAAGTCCTATAATTTAATTGTCCGACTGTCTATTTTTATACATGTAGGTTGCTTCTGTTTTTCACTATCAGAATCTACTTTCGACCTAAACGTTAGAACATACAATTAATTACTTTTCTTGAAGTTACATTGTTGTTCAAAGAGATTGCATATTTTTAAAAGTTTGATACTATTCTTAAATTACTTTTCAAAAAACTATACCAACTTGGCTTGGCACCTACAGCTCAGCGGCTAGGGCGCTGGCCACATACACAGGGGCGGGCAGGTTCAGACCCAGCCCGGGCCTGCCAAACAACAATGACAACTACAAAAAAAA